TTGATGCAGAGTACTTTCTGTCGGGCGGACGCTTGCGCCACCTAGCTCACGCATGCTCAATTACAGCATTCAGTTTAGTTTCGGTTTTGAAATGCGACCGAAATTGGTCCTTTGGTGCAGGCTTGGCGCAGATCACCCATATTTCGGCAAAATGTAGCAGCATGTAGCAGGGTTGGGCCCTTGGCGCAGCAATCACATCACTGTAGTATAAGAAGAGTAGACAGAATAACTAAATTGTAAAACTTTTTTGGAGAAGTTTTAATTCTTCAGCAAGATAGTTCTGCCATGGAGACCATACAGATGATGAATGTTCTAACTTAGGGCATACAAAGGTAAGGTATGCAACGCATTTATTATTAGGAGGGGCTAGTATTAAATTGTCCAGGAGAAAGTCAAGTGCGCTGTCTTCCTTACCGATAGTAGGTCTAATGCGGGTGATCCGTGTAAAATTTCTTGTTATATAAAGAAAAACATATTTATAAAACAAGAATGTGCTGATGATGGTATCGTTAATACTGTAGACATAAAAAGATGGTAATGAAAGCTGAGCAAATGTAAGCAATTTGCATTTCTTTATCCTCGAGGACAACAGCCACTATCACACCAACCCGCTATGGATAATAAGGCAGTTTGCAAGGATAAGTGATGATCGCCATCTGTGACAGGAGTAAATTAGTCATCTGTGAAAAGTCAGATAGTGGACGCAACACGAAAAGGATGATCATTGATACAGATTAGGAAAAGAAGCGGTCTGAGCATGTTTTCTAAAGGAATGCCCAATGTTAAGTTGGACTTGGATCACATGAAGTTATTTATAACAGTGCATTGAACCTGATTGGAAAAAAAGTCAGTCAAATTTAGGGGTTTTACGTGCCAAACCTACGACGGGCATCTGGCACGCCCCAGCGGAGGACTGAGGAATAATTTTGACCACCTGGGGATCTTTTGACGTGCAACCGAAAGCTCGGTTACACGGCGCCTTCTCCGCAATAAGCCTCCGTCATATTGTGGGGGCACCTCGGTCGGGATTCGAACCCGCCACCTGGGGATCTGTAGGCCGGCGCTGTCGTCCCAGAGCCACCGAGGCGGCTAACTTGATTGGAAACAAATTAGAAAATCCAGGCAACAATAAAGGGATCAATTGTGACATTGCACGATAAGGTGGTTATGAGACACCAGGGCCGTAACCAGGGGGGGAGATAGGGGGTTCTGACCCCCCCCCCGAAATTTTTTTCTGGGTACGGCCCTGGTCGGTGCACTTGCAGCCAGCCGATTTTAATCTCCACCTCTGCGCACGCGCAGTGGCGCGGTCGGCTACCGGATACCAAACCGGGACCGGTTCTCCGGTTTGCTGCAACTCTCCATTATATACCACCGATGCACATGATTCATAGGTGAAAATAAGACAATAGACACTTTCAAAATGGCCGCCGTTGTCGCCAAAAACCCCCCCCGAAATTTTTTTCTGGGTACGGCCCTGTGAGACACCCTGTCAAATGCTTTTGAGAAGTCTAGGAATATACAGTGGTGAAACTGACAAGAGGTGATTTGGAGCAGCTCTTGTAACAGGAAAAAATCGGTTTTGGAGCAGACAATTTTGAGCTTTCATGTCAGAAAGTTTTATACAATCTCTTCGAAAGTTAGCCCATAGAAAAGACTGTAGCTGTTGGAGCATTGGGAGACTGAAGTGTTATGCCCACAGAGGACCTGGCCTTTACAGATATTTATTTATTTATTTATTGAACAGTCATACGTCAGCAATTTTGTAGAAGTCTCAATTAACCTATTATTAGTACCGATGGCATCTTCAGTCTGTGTTTAACGTAAAAAGATATTTTCGGCTACTTTGTAGCGGGTTTTATTACAGTGACGTAATTGTCACAAATTTAACATCAAACGGACACTTATGGTTGAAAGTGCCTCACATTGCCCTCCCTCGTATTCAACTTGCTGCTGTTCATAGAACAGCTAAGCGGAGCACATAGCTACTCTAACCGATCACGAGTAGCGGTAGCTATTCATTGCGATCGATGTGAGCACCGTTCGCAAAAAAAAAGAAAAAGACGACAACTCTTCATTTGGCATGAGCAAAAATAGATGTTGGGTTTCAAGCAAATTCAAAGTGAATAGTAATAGTTCTTTCGGTCGAATATTTTTTAATTGAATATTGAAGACTTTTTGCACCTTTCTCCATGCCTTTTACTACTGTTCCACCATGCTTAAACAAAAATTCAGCTGGACTCACGAAGGTTGTTCCTAATTGCCCACTTATGAGTAGTTAAATTTAATCTAGCTATATTTATAGACTGTAGCCTCAGAACGTCCAGTACCTACAGTGGGATGGCAAGTAAATGACAAATTTGACATAAAATTAAGCCTATAAAGGAGCCTAGCCATACATAATAGAGGGGATTTTAAAAATTTTGTGCCTATATAAAAATATTTTTGTTGATTCTGAATTAAAAAAAAGCACAAACAATAAACAGAGGTTTTTTGAACTATGCTGCCTACAGCCTGTTGTAACTCAAGAAGGTAGGGTGAGGGTAAGACGGGCCAGGAAAGAGGAAGCAGATGGAATGCTGGAGAAGAGAGGGGGAAATCTCTCTTAAGTGTTCCGTCTGCTTCCTCTGCCCCGGCCCGTCTTACCTTCACCCTACCTCCTTGACTTGCAACGGACTCTAACATATACCCTTGAATAATAGTCACAGTTAAATTTTGAAGATTTTACTGCAATGTAATAATAACGATCCCAAAACTTTTATGTTTTTTTGTTTTGTTTTTTTCTTTTAATATACATTAGGCCTGCGCGTGCACCATACTAGTTTGAAGATGTGCTTTTCGCATAAGCGCGCGAATGAGCTGCGGCGAAGCGGGTAGCGAGATCACTGTGTCAGCTTCATGGGTATTGCTTCTCCGCAGTGCAACTGTGTTTGAGGAGAAGCGCACTCAAGGGAGCTAACCCACCGCAATCAACACTTCGAAATGTATGAATATTGCAGTTAATTTTTTAAGCGAATATCACCATATTATTTCAAACTACTATTAGAAAATTAAAATATTCGCGTAGCTCTATTCTTCGCACATACTACTTAGGCATCAAGAAAAAAAAACTACTTTCTTAACTTTCAGTGGCATCGCTTGTCCCGTGCCAGACACTTTCAGTTTCCTTTTCGAGAACTGCTCCCTTTCGGCGCAGACATGACGCAAATTGCGCGCAAATACAGCCTTTAGAGCAGCATGTAGCAGGTTATTCATTCTGGCACAGTTTGGCGCAATTAGCGCAGCAGTTTTACCACTGAATATAGCAACGGTTTGTTGTTTACGTTGCAAATTTAATTGAATGTCATGTATAAATCACAAAAGTTGTATTTTGCATGATAATGTCTTTCTAAATCTGTGCTTATTTTTGTTTAGGAGCATATTAGGCTCAGTGTATCTAATGATGTTTGAAGATATCATGCTGAGTGATATAGAACAATAGTGAGGTGAATTTCTATCTCCGAACCTATGTACCTACTTTTTGTATAACATGTATTAAGTTATGTTAATCGTTTAGTTAACGCGTTTTCTGTATACATTTATTACCCTGATTGTTTTTCCTGCATCTCCGTCACCATCTGCCAAGCTCTCGGGGCCCGGACCTAGTAAGCCAACAAAGATTGGCTTTTTTGTCCGTGGTTTCGACATCTGTACTTGCAGATGCAATAAATGATTTGATTTAATGTACAGGGATTACATGGCTGATTTTTAAAAAGGCCCTGCAAGGACTTTTGTACTGGTTTTTAATTTGCACCGAACCTGAGTGCACTGAATGTCGTATCTTAATGAAACTGTTCTTTTCACGAATTTTACTTTATTTTAAAAGATATAGGCAAATTAAAAATACAAAAACAAGCACAAAAACCCTCTTTCATGACGTCCTCGTCGCTTGAGTGGTCGTGAACTAGAGCAGGATTAGTGAGCTCAACAAGCACACACGGCTGCCGCACTCCGTGTCGATGGCTCGAGAGGGCGCCACTAAAGCATGTTCCGGCTAGGCTGTATGAAGCGGGCGGCCAGGGTGGCTCGCACTGCACTTGCTGCACGATTAAACACTGATTCGGCATGACACTTCATTGGCCACCAACGATAGCAAACACGAGTTAAAAATCAGTTCAGAAAGGCAGCCACTTCGCGCTACCATACCACCAAACGGCCAAATCGCAAGCCAAATCTGCTCGCCAAAGGCCTTCGAAACGCTCGGAACCAGTCGGATCCTCGAACCGTATACGACCGCAGCGCCGCCACGTACATCGGAGACCTTTCTACACTCGCCGCTCATCGGTGCCTGACCCCACTACCCCTCTAGTATGCGCCGCCTTTTCCACCGATTGGTGGTGGATATGTCGACGAGTCATTTCTTGTTTCCGTCTTTATAAACTGCATTTGTTTATTTTCTGATCTAAAATACTGAACAAAAAGTACTTTCATAAATATCTGAAACAGTTCGCGCCACTTATATTTTGTATTTCGACTAAAAAGAAGCTTTTAGCGGGTCTGACCAGTAGACTACACAAATTGCGCGCTTTCGGCACCGCAGGTCGCCCCCGTAGGTGGAGGAGGTTTCCACATCGTCCGGTTAAAATATAACGCACTGGTATTTAGTTACTCTCTCCGTGCCCGCTGCCTTGCCCGAACCCCAATAGATTTGGAAACCGCAAAGAAGGTAGACGCTTAAATATGATTGCAGAGCCCCTTTAAGTCAAGAGGTATGCTACCAGAGGAGTGATTCTCGATAGATGTCAGTTAGAACCAGAAATTCTATATGGCTTGGTGTTTTCCATGACTGCAATTTTATGTGGTTGCCACCAGAACTTGTGGAAAGTTCCAGATCTTCAATGGCTAAGGATGTATATCTAACAATTATATTCTGCAGATATTAAACAGGGAATTGCCATTATTACACAAATAATTACAATGCTCCAAGAAGTAATTCCACTAAAGAATAAAACTGAACATACCAACAGCCTCCTGTCAGCAGCTTCCATGAGTCTTGGTAGTTTCAAACTGCAACATGTCCTCTAGAAGTGGAGCATAAATGGCTCTGGTCTGTGCCTGGTCTGGTGCTCTAGCTGTCTGAGGGCCATGAGTCCACAGTCACTTGAGCCTTGGTTTCACCCCTCTATTCTTCTACACGGGCCACAAGCTGTAGTACCAGGCTTGCAGTAGAAAAGAAACTGAAGGTGTTAAAGATGCACTGCTGAAAAGACAAGGCACAAAAAAAACCATTAACTACTTAGCTTGAAAGGTGCTAAAAAAGAAAATCATACAGATTTAATTAGAACAAAACTTTGAAGATTCATCTCAACCACCCAGGTATTGTGAACCTAGACTGATCTTGCAGCACAATAAGCCTCAGTCAAATTGCAGGAACCTCAGTCTGGTTTACAACCTAATAACTCGGCATCTTGCCTCAAAGCCAACTTTCAATTAACAGCTAATACATTAAACTCTGAAGATACAGCACCAATAAGAGATGAGCATGGTCATGACAGCCTGCTTGACTTACAGTGTCAAGTTAAGGGTTAATCAATGAAACTATTCTCCTATGCCCTTGAAAACTGTGGTCGAGACAAACGTTACAACCAAAAAGATACTTCAAGTAGCTGTCAGCATGCGCTGTACAAGCAGAAGTGTCAAGGGAAGGTTGAAAGGGCCACAGGAAAGCACTGGCTTCCCAAACCTTAGATCCGCCACCCGAAAAACACCCTACTTTCACAGGGAGGAGGGAGCTAGCCTTGTGGCTACAATTTCAGCTATCTGCTCACGTGATAGGGACAGTATACCCAACCTCAACATCAGATTGGACATAGACTGAAGGTTCAGTTGACCGACTGCTTACAAAGCAAATTGCACGGACCAGAGGAGCCTGCTTTAGTATGTTGGTCAGCGACTGTGTGCTGAAAAATTAACAAATAGGGAAGAGTCATGCTAATGCAGTGCTTATATCTGTAGTGAGTTTGAAAGAAAAAGATTATGCACGTAAAATGCTTTCAACAGGCTTGTGAATGTGCATTAAAAATTTGCATAAAGATGTTGGCCTGAACTAGGTTTCGGTCGGTGCTGCTTCAATTGCTCACAACTGATCTCATTCCAGGGGTAGTGATTAACAGAAATAAAACAGGCACAAAGGCTGTTTCACACACTTGCGACTGCTTCTGGCTGGAGAGGTTAAAAGACTGGCTTTAAACCTCTATAAATGCTTATGACTGCCGTGCCGGTTGTAGGCAGTTGCAAGTGTGTGAACCATGCCTGCTTTCTTCTGCAGTAATACACTGCACAAGGAAACTTATTGTATGTTTCTATAGTTGCAACACAAGAATGCGGTGAGACTGGAGTATTCAAGTTCTAGTGCGGTGAATCACAGTTTGCTCTTCTATTTAGGCCTGCAAGAATGATGTCCTGGGAATAATAACAACATCAAGCCTATACAAACAAAAACACCTACCTGCTTCCAATCATACTTTGAAAAGACGTTTTTTAAGGCATGGCCAATAAAAGAAAAAGCTGATGGCCATAGAGAATCTTCAGTCACAGAAATAACACTATATACTGCCATATATGTCAGGATAGACCATATCCCAAATTAACCATGCACAAAAGAGAATGCTGAGAATGTATGAACATACACTGCATGTGCTGGTGTCTGCAAGCGAATCTGTTCAAAGGTAAAAATCTAAAATAAATAGCACATTGCACACACATTCCTCGAAACCCTATTTTGGTTTTTTGCCTCGAATCCTTTATGCAGAGAAGGCAAGCGTGTGCAGCATGTGTACCTACGTTTCCAGCATTCCCCTTGGTGCTTGGGTAATTAGCAAAAAGTCTATTGCTGAAGTTGTGTCAAATGTGTGTCCAAGCAACACACTGTGGTCGTTGCAGACAACGTGCTTGCAACGGATGCTGTCAAAGCTACAGCTCCTGATGCAAATTTCTGAAAGGGCCATTAGAGGCAAGCACACATGTCAAAACGTCGGTGAGGGGGGGGGGGGGGGGCAACTTACCGGTGAAATTCCGCTGCCTCAAAGAATCATGACCACCTGTGACATCTTCGGGCGATAGTAGCTCCTGGGGTGCTATTAGAAAATAAGATGGATTGTTAGGTACAAATCTTCTAATACTCAGAATTTAAAAAATAACTATCAATTGAGTACAGAACCCTCAGATGCATCTGCTATATAAATGCTTGTGCAGCGAGAGCACATTCGAAAAATGCGACCTCCTGCTGAAAATAACAATGTATGTATGCTTTACATGCAGCATTTCTTTCCAGAGCTGGTGGTTGCATATTATCACTGTTCTCGAACTTCCACTTCTATGGTGCACAACCATGTGTTCTATGTTGAAATAGAACACAGGGCTCTCAAACCAATAAGTGTTTTCACGACAATGTCATACCTACAAGTGTTCATTCTGTTGTTTGTTTGTTTTTTCCTGTTTTTATCTCTTGAAACATATGATAGTTATCTCTTCGCTGTTTTTGTAGCTCGCTTTGTCAAGAAGATGAAAGAGAATACCTTGTCAAGCAAACAACTGTTGGCTTTTTGTCTGCCTCCCAGCATTTGTACTTGTACAGGTGCAAATAAAATGATTAATTGATTGATTGAACTAACACAAAATGGAAGTGCAACAATCTAATTCATTCCCTATAATCAAACAACAGAATTCACGTTTGAAAACAATACAGGTGCCTTCACTAAGGGAAGAAAAAGGTAAAATGTAGGCTTCAAAAAGCAAACATATTGTAGCCAATGGCGTCATGTCACTTGACACTCAGCAGACTACTTCCCGCTGCATATGCTTAGCTGTTGGCATAGGCACATAGCCCCCTGCTTCTCTCATTCACCGTCCTCTCCCCCTCCCTCTTTGTGTCACACCCTCATGGAGCTTTGGGAAGCAACTTGAAGCCAATATATATTTTGTTGCAAGTTAAAAGCCTGGGTCATCTGTATTATATTTTATGTCCCTCTTTTCTTGCCCAGTTTTCTCGCTAGACTGGCCAGGCAACAATCAAATGCAGGCGCACTTACTGCTCCCTCTCTTAAATCTAGGCTCTCTCCGTCATCTCCGCCGGCATGTTGTCGTTAGCGCTCCGAACGCCTCTATCGGCATGCCACAACGGCTTCTCCGCGTGCAATGCGGTAAAGCTGCTTCCCAGATAAGGAGCGGAGAGCAGACGACGGCCTTTCCCGCATCTTCTACTGCCTGTTTTGGGTGCCTTCTTGGTCGTGACAGTAAGGTGCGGCGGTCTGAGACTTAGGGCCAGTTGCACCAATGCAGCTTAACGCAAATCAGAGCTTAGCAGGGAACCTAAGCCGAGTTTTGGTTTTGTTCTGTTGCACCAAAATCACTTATCGCTAAACCTAGCACTAAACCATGCCTATCGTGAGCGCTCAACATCGGGTACTTTACTTGGTCGTTTCTTAATCCTGGATTTAAAACATGCCGGCTGGTTTGTGGCGGTCTACACGGTGGACGAAATTGGTTGTACAAAGTGTTTTAGGCTACAGCAGCGTGAGAGCCTCAACAGAATGACCTTCGATTGCGACAGATGCAAAATATTATGTGAAGTGTTTATCGACCCGTTTTCAAGTTGACTTTCCAGTCTCAGTGTGTGTTAGCCCTAACCAGGGAAGGTATGCAGATGTGGGGCTCACGCACGTCTCACGTCCATCTTCCCATTGGTTTTTATTTCAGCGTGCTTATTCGTATGCAGTTATTTGCGCATATCTGTAACGTATTGCTATTTACAACCTTGTTTATCTTAGAGCGCAGCTCTTAGGCACCCGCTTCCGGCTTGAGTGGAGTCGGCGTAACCGCACGGTGCATTATGGAACACTACCCATGATGCAATGCGCAGGGAGGAGGATGAGGGGGAGGGAAGGAAGGAGGAGGAGGGGGAAGAGAAGGAAGGAGGGGAGGAGAGAGGAGCTTGAAGGATGAGGTGAGGGGGAGGTGAAGGAAGATGAGGAGGAGGGGAGGAGTAGCAGGGAGGATGAGTGGGTGAGGAGGAGCAGGGAGAGGGGGTATACCCTCCCCTCAGTACCCTTCCCTCGTCTTCTTTAAGAGCTGTGCTCTAATTCGGCGTTACAGGGTGTTGTAAACGTCAGATTTTTACTTTCAACGCATTTCCTTTTTTCCAATCAGCGCGTTGAATAGCGGCAGTGCACGATCTCGGCGATCAGCCGATTGTAGCCCCATTCTTCCGTTGTCATTAAATTGCGGTGAACAACGCATTTAAACAATAATGCAACGAAAAGGCTATTTTTTTTTTTTTTTTAGTGTTAGGACAATTTTTAAGAGAAGTTTCTTTGTCTCCCGAGTAAAATCTTAGCTTCGGAAAACTGTGTCGTTCTACAGTCGAAACTTATCTGGTGACCGCACTTTGTAGCGGCGACAAGAAATCATAACAACTAAGATGCGAGATTTGCTCAGCACTGTATTAGGGCAGGCTGTGGCGGGTGGTGCGAAGAGATGACTGTTCTCATAGACACAATGTGATGACCTAGTGTGAGTTTTCATACTTCAAAGACAGCCACCGCCTTACGTTCAACTAGGGAGACAGGCAGTGTACTGTGCCACAGCTCACACGCCATGCCCCTCTGGGTAAGATGTTACAACATGTTCTGCAGTACCGTAGAAGCTAATAATCGTTCAGTAATTGTATTTGCACTTCGATATATTTAAATTGTTGTCAAAATTGAATACAATATTTACTTTTATTTTTGGGGTGCACTTTGTTGCAATGCACATAAGTTGTGTTGTGAAGTACGCATCATGAAAATACCCAGTATTTCTGTTTTCTGGCTGCACTTGGAAATTTTTTATACAAATATGTATGGTTAAATTATCCTTGGCAAGCAACTGGACCCCAGCCCTAGACTCAAGCCTTGCTTATTCCAGCATCTGCTCATCTATTTTCTTAAGGAAATAATTCAGGTACTAACAAAAACATGAAATGGTTATGAAGGCTGATCGGGAATCTGAATGGTTTATTTTGGAAAATCATGTAGGTCATAAATGACCTAAGCTTAATGTGATAATCCTAGTGTTGGTTTTCATGATTGAGATCTGAGGCAGAGCAGGTGAAATAGAAAAGAAACTTTGTACAATGTCTAGGTCTAAGGCACAGCTTGTATTTGTTTGCTAAAAGACAGAACTAACAGACACTTAGAAAAACCCTCAACACCTAGGCATAGAAATTAGAACAGCATAATAGAACCAGAGGAATGAAATGCACGACTGCCACAGAAAGATGGAACTTTACCAATCTGGGGAAACTTTACGTAACACTGACTATTTAAAATAAGTGAGAAACCAGACCGTAATGCAGCTTGCTTTTTGAACTAACCTAAAATTAACTATCTTCAATTTTATGAGCTAACAAAATAATGACTGATGCAGCACAAAGAAAGTCAGAGGTTCAAGTTACAAGGTTACATGTAAAGACCCCAAGTTAGCAGTCATGCTGCATATGGTAAGTTTTCTTTCTGCAGTGGAGACACAAACAGTCTAATTTCATAGCTGACTGATTCATCACTCTCTGAAGGCTAACAACCCATTTAATTTTGACTTTTATGACCATAATAAGGTCAAAGTAGGAAAGTTTTAACCTACACAAAGATATACCAGGTGTTTCTTTCAAAACTTAACAGATTTGTTTAAAAAGCCGTGAAAGTTACACTTATGCGGTTTGTGCAGATGAGTTATACAGCCAGGGGGATAGAGTTTTGGGGCTAATTGTAACGATCAGTCAGCTAATTATTTAAAATTCGTTAATTAACTTTTTAAATAATTAAAAATCGACACATAGTTCCAATTAGAAACTTGCTAAGCGCCATTGAAAACCACTAAATCAACTCTTTTTAGAACATAAAGCATGGGCAGCATTTTACGTCGTTCTAATGAAGCGCTCAATTTGGATGTGTTTCTAGGTTTCGCTTACTTATCCGAGCACATCTCTGCGCCCGCAATCCTGTCCCCTCCCCCTCCCCTCCCTCCTCCTCCTCCTCCTCCTGTAGTCGCGGCGCAAAGCCACTCCCTCGCTTACCTTGTAGCATAGAGGGAAGTTGGGCGCAACTGTGTTGCACATCTCAGCCACTGTCGAGCAGGACCGTGGGAGCAGAGATGCACTGCAATAACAAATCGAAACCTAGAAACGCGTCCACATTGAGCGTTTTCATGGAACGCTGTAATATACAGCCCCTGCGTTATATCTTTCGAAAAAGAGTTGATATAGTGGCCTTAGGTGACGCTGAACAAGTTTCTAATTGGAACCACATGTCTATTTTCATTTATTAAAAAGTTAATTAACGAATTTTACTTAATTAGCCAACTGATCGTTACAATTAGCCCCCTATACTATGTTCCCTTGGCCGTATACCTCACCTGCGCAAAACCGCTTTAATGTAACTTTCATTTTTTAAAACAAAGCCACAAAGAGTGTCTTGGTGTAAATGCTATATGTATTCCGTTACTAAGATTGGCTCATGAAGTAAACTAAACAATGAATAAGTATGGTTGGAGCCAGAACGCAGACGTTACGAAGGATCCATGTCGTACGAGGGTGATTAAAAACTTATTTCACTTTGGTCAACTTACACCTTCTGTTGGCTGCACTGTCTTATCGGCACTTTTCATACAAGGTTGCTGTATCTCCAGTCACTGCTGTGCAGGCTTGAATCTGTTAAATCAGTTCAGTTGGGACTGAGGTGCTAGGAAGAATGGCTGTCCCATGCTTAATTTGTACAAGTGAATCAGTCATCGTTCTCGTGATATGAAGGGGTGTCCAGTAATTCCATATATATGAATATACCGATATCCATAAAAAAAACTTTGTACACAGTATTATGGAAATGTAAATGTTTTCTCGCAAAGAAATGCGTTTGAATGGATACAGAAGTTCTATGAAGAATGCACGAGTGGCAGTCATAAAGGAGCCAATGCCCATCCATTTCGACGACTGAGAATGACGTTGAGACACATCCGCGAGAGGTGTTGAGACACTTCTGCAAGGCAATGAGGGATCTCCAGAGAAAACTCAAATGCTGAAGATAATCAGAGTATTGTCATCGTCCCCATATCATAGTCAATCATTGGTCTTGAATGGTGCTATTATATTCGAGTTCTCTATTTTGTGACCACACTTGCCTCCAGATGGCTCCAACGTACTGAGAACTACCCCGAGATAGTCATCGGCCTCCGATTGAAGTCAATAATTGGTCTTGAATGGTGCTATGACAACAAAGTTTCCTTTCTGGTGAGCCAACTTGCCTCCAGACATCTCTGCAATGATGAAAACTACCTCGGAATGGTCGTAGTCCTCCTATTGTAGCCAATAATTGGTCTTAGACGGTGCTATGACAACGAAGTTTCCTTTCCGGTGAGCCAACCTGCCTCCAGATGTCTCTGAAATGATGAAAACTACCTCGGAATGGTCGTCGTCCTTCAATTGTAGACAATAATTGATCTTAGATGGTGCTATGACAACAAAGTTCCCTTTCCGGTGAGCCAACCTGCCTCCAGACGTCTCTGAAATGATGAAAACAACCTCGGAATGGTCGTCGTCCTCCAATTGTAGCCAATAATTGGTCTTGAACGGTGCTATGACAACGAATTTTGCTATCTGGTGAGCCAACTTGCCTCCAGACGTCTCTAAAGTGCTGAAAACTACCACTGGATGGTCGCTGTCCCTAAAGTGTAAACTGAACTTTGAAAAAAAAATGTGGTCGTTAAAATTATTAAAAATCATTTGACAATTTTGTAATCCTGACATGTTGCAAAGGGACAGATGCTTAAGGAACTATATCATGTAAAATTTACTGAAAGGACAGATATAAGGGCACTGCCATTCTGATTTCAAATGCAGCACTGATAATAGGCACATTCAAGTCCCACTAAGTTTGTACTTAGGTCTTGCACTTAGGTGTTTGCTGCTCCAAAACAGTGTTTTGGAGCAGCAAATGTGGCCTTTGGAGCGGCCAAGATAGTGTGTTTTGGAGCAGCAAAAGTGGCTTTTGGAGCAGCGAAAACAGTGTTTCGGAGCAGAAAAAGTGACTTTTGGAGCACACATTCTTAGAAATATAAATATTTGTTTTAAATGCTGGAAAAACGAAGGGCACTTTGTGTTGTGTTGTGATGCGACGTGTTTGGGCGGAATTCGCTGCTTGTGTTTTTGCTGCTGAGACATCCCACAAGTATACAGTGCTGTAAGCGTTGCCAAGCAATTCTGAAAAAAAAAAACAAAAAAAAACACTTGCTTTCGTTTTACTGGTTTTCAACGTGGCAGATCTTCATAAAAAGTAAGCAAACGCAAGACATTAGATTGCAAGCGTCGTGGATGGTGCCTCTCGTGCAATCATGTTCACATGCACGTGAGGGCAACTTCGGCAGGCTTGCACCTAGACGTGCTTCGTCGCATGAGCAGAGACAACGGCTGTTCAACCGAAACCGAAACCATGCCACTCCGCTTTGTCGCCAACTGGTTCCCAAAATAATATACATGTACAAAATGTAACTGTCCAGCATACGACAAACAGTCCAGCGGTGCGTGCTTGCCAGGCCGGTGGGCGAGGTACAAGCTAAACACACAAAAAAAAAGGACCTGAGCGTATCGATGCAAGACATTGCGAGCCAGGGTCAAGAAGTTTTTGGAGCGCTTTGTGCAACGACTGAACTCGAGACAAACAAGCGTGCTGTGCAGGTTCAGCGTGCAGGCATTGCCTTCTTTGCTTTAGGTCACTTCTCATCATCAACATTCTTTCGCGGCAGATTTTTCACGTACCGGGGTCCCTCTCGGGAGAAAGCCCACCGAGAGAAACCTAGGTAATTATTATTTCGACACAGCAGTCATTGAGTTAAAGAGGGATTTTTATAGCAGCGTATGATTTAAACAAGAGCAGGAATGTCGATGCGTTTCAGTTTAGAAAGCATTATATCTGCAGCAAAGTGGGGACGGCAACACACGACGTCGCGCGACGAGAGTTACTTTGTGAGCTTTGTGAGCACAAAGTAACTCTTGCCACGTAAAAACGTGGTTTTGTTTCACAGCATGACGGCAAGTCTGGAACCCGACACACTAACGTCGGAGTGTCCGCGCACACGGCCGCGTCTATCACTAAAATATTAAAAAAAAGAAAAAAAGACGCGAGATGAGATTCCCGAGACGACGAGAGTGCGAAACGCGAGACGGCGGGAAAAATCATGCAAGACTGCATAGATGATTGATGCAGGGTACTTTGTGTCGGGCAGCGTCTTGTGCCACCTAGCCAACGCATGCTCAATTACGGTTCTCAGTTTAGTTTCGTTTTTGAAAGGCGACCAAGATTGGTCCTTTTGCGCAGGTTTGGCACAGATTAGCCATATTCAGGGGTGGAAGCGGGCTAGAGCCTTTTGTAGCAGGGCTGGGAGCAGCAAAAGTCCCAATTTGGAGCAGTTTTGGAGCAGTAAAACGCTCGCTTTAGAGCAGCTCGGGAGCAGCAAAAATAAGTTTTGTAGCCGTAGAAGTAGGTTTTGGAGCAGGTCACGGAGGTCAAACAGGTGACTAAAAGTGATTTGTTGTTGCTAAATGTGAAAATGAAGCAAAAATATATGCATGCACATCCCAGAATAATTTTCAAGCAACATACATACACATTTTTCTATTTCTATTGCATTGAAATAGGGAATATTGGCAATTTATGCAAAGGAAAGGCTTTGAGAACCATTCCGGCAGCAGGCAGAGTCATGATAGACTTTATATGGGAGGCCCCGACAATAAAAGCCTAACTTGAGCCACGCCAGTACAAAACCGTCTACTTAATAGACCAATTGTAAACATGTATCCAGAAAATTAAACCACTGCAAGGTGTCAGATAAACTACCTTCGCTGACTACAGCTTTTGTTTAATAAAGAATACACATGCTCAATCACTACTTAAAAAGCCCTCCCTATTGGAAAACCCCAATATAAACAGCGTATTATGGATATTGGTAAACAATATCTTTTTATTGTATTGCAATACAATATAGACAGTGTATTGGAAAACATTACATTTATTGTATTGTATTACAATAAGGATTTGTTATGGGATTCCAATATCCATAATACGCTGAAAACATTGGAATCCAATACCGTATAAACCCTTATTGGATCCCCATGTGTCGTATGGGGATCCAATAAGGGTTTACGATTCCAATATACTCAGCGTATTATGGATATTGGAATCCAATATATTATATCGGCTACCAATAAAACTATATGCGAGTTGGAATATCACGTTCAGCACGACATTTCTTTGCAACGCAGTCTCTTCTTGTGTGTATTTCTGAGTGATAAAAGAAAAAGTGTTGTTGTTGTCAAATGATGAATAAAGAAGCAAAACACTGGGCTTATCCATACCAAATATATTTAACATATTCCTGAACTGGAAGATCTGGCATTTACTGCAAAAGAAAGTTAATTGTTTAGGACCCTCATTCAAAAACTTGCTGTTTGAAAACAGAATGTGAAATCCTCACCTTTTAATGAAAGCAGCACCTGCTAGCTGTAGCCATATAGAAACTGCAAAATAAAAATTTGTGATTAGTTCGCAACAAGTAGCAATCCTTCACTAAGCTGGATAGATTCAAAATTATGTCTGCGTTTGATTGTGAAAAAATAAGCTTCCATTCCACTGCCACAGATCATTCTGAGCTCCGTCAATTAAATAAACCTATCGGCTCGTCTGGCTTTACAGTTCCTGCTTTGCACCTAACCACGGTGAAAGATACACTCTTTAGGTGAGGACACGCCGGGGCTGAACGCGCGGCACGAGGAATCAAATAGTGTTCGTTCGACGGGCATCCGAAAGACTGCATCATTCGACTGCCACCGTGCCCGCGACTGACAGTGTCACCGGCGGCCAAACGGCGGAACTGTGTGACAGCAAAAAATCATTATCTCGTTGTCATGACACCCCGGTACACCATGGTCTTTCTGCATGTGTGACAACCTCGCTGGAGCTCTGCGCGTGTGGTACATAAGGCGGCACGAGCCGTCTTGAACGTGCCCACGGGTCGACGAGTCACCTGCTGGCGTTGCTTGAAACCAAAGTGAGAGAGTGTGAAGGGCGAACTTCATCGGGCCGTGGCCAAGAGCGCGCTGTCCTCACCTGAAGAGTATTATCTTACACCGTGCACCTAATTAAAGTATCTGGAATGCTCACCTTTGAGGAAAAACGAACTGGTGCTTGCTTGCTTGTAGGCCGTGGAAACTGGGACAAACTGGGAGAGAGATTTGCGATTAGTTGCGTTCAAGTAGCAATTACATTGAGTAGCCCCGTAAAGTACACTAAGTCGATAGGATGGAAGCTTGGGCGAGTTGGTGAACCATACTTGGCGGTGACAGCGCAGCAAAATTAATCTCACACCAGACACTCAGGAAGACAAGCACACGCGCTGAACTTACAACTCTTGTGTATTCGACTGCTTCATTTTTCTCTTCAACGTCTGGGTTGACTTTTCAGAACGTGATAAGTAGAAGAAGTAGCACGAAATACAAAGGAAAATTCTAAAGAGAAGGCAAAAGAACAGTAAAAGAGAAGACAAATGAAGAAACGGAAAAAATATCTAAACGAAACACTTTTCCAAATTGTCCCTCTCCCTCATCGCTATCATTTAGATAGAAATTGGGAGCTCTTTGGTCGACAGCGCTATAGAAGGACT